ACACACACAAAAATCACTACGGAAAATGCACTGCCAAACTGTGCATAAATGAACCCAGCAGCTCAGGCATTTTGCTAAGCTCCCAGCAGGAAAAGGGAGGTATCTCAAGGGACATTCCTTGGTGCCCACCCACGGTCAACAGCGGGGCTGCCGCCTGCGTGGATGGGCTGGGGTAGATGGCAAAGGACTGTCCGTGACTCCCTGCACACCCACAACCCTGCACACAGGTGGAGGAGAGAGGCTGGGCTGGCCCAGGGCAGGAGAAGGCCAGTAGTGCCAGCCTTGCACGGGGAAACATTCCCTGTTGTGTCCCAAAGCAAACAGCAATAAAGCACGCTGCTAATGAGGGTGCAACCTGACCCTTGGCAAAGTACCTGCCCAAGGACTCTGCGTCTGCCGGTGTTTAAGGGAAGGATGGTGTCGGCAAAAACTTCAAGCTCAAGGGGATTATTTTTTTTCAAAAGAACAACAACCCCAAAAAAATTGTTTGGATGTTTTGCTGGTAATAAAAATTACTCACAAAGTAACAGAGAGCAAACACTGCTTTGAAGGAAAGTGAAGTCTGTAAAACAAAGAACCTTACCCTGTGGAAAGAATTCCTTTTTAACGCTAATGTTAACATTTCATTTTTTATAAGAAATCCCAGTGAATCTTCCCTTAAGAATCTTCAGCTCCAGACAGGACAATTCTCTTTTTCCTCTCTGCCTGTTAACCTATTCTGCTGATCTTCCTTTGCAGGAAAGAAACGAACTTTTACTCATGTTTTTTGCTTTTCTTTACCTAGGCTGTTTATCACACTGTTACACAAACCGTTCTCAGACCCGTAACAGCCTGGGCAGGCAAAACATCTAGATTTTAGTATGCTACAACAAGAGACCAGCAGCTCAAGCAAACTAAAGAACCCATGATGAAACCACGCATGGTAAAATTCACAATCTCCTATCTGTTATTTTAAAAGGCAAGAAAACAACATACAGCACAGAAGCTACTTCTAAGGAAGATAAAGGAATGTACTTAATGTAGTGAAAGGCAACCTGTCATCCTGACACCTTTTTGGGTTTGGGGGAGTCAAATTAACACCACTTAACGAGGCAGATGTGACGGCACAAAGCAGCTGGGTTATTGAAGCAATCATTGGCACCTATTTCAATTAGGAGCATAACGGTAAACGTGGATAGCGCTCTGCAAAGAAACTGGGATGGTGGAGAGTAATCCAGGATGTAAGAAGTTTAGGAACTGATGATCTAGGGACAGTACCACAGAAGCATAAACGATACTGTATGGAGTACTCCTAATCAAACTCAGAGGATTTTGCAAGCAATTAAACATAGGCTTAAACTTAAGTATCGGAACCATCACACAGAAGCTAAAAGACATGAACACAGGACTTGAACACCTTGGAATCACAGAATCACATGGGGTTGGAAGGGACCTTGGAGATCATCTAGTCCAACCACCTGCCAAAGCAGGCCCACCCAGAACAGGTTGCACAGGAACATGTCCAGGCGGGTTTGAATGTCTCCAGAGAAGGAGACTCCACCACCTCCCTGGGCAGCCTGGTCCAGGGCTCTGCCACCCTCACAGGAAAGAAGTTCCTCCTCATGTTTAGGTGGAACTTCCTATATTCAAGTTTGTGTCTGTTTTCTCTTGTCCTGTCCCTGGGCAACACTGAAAAAAGACCATCGCCATCCTCTTGACACCCACCCTTTAAGTATTTATAGGTGTTGATCAGATCACCCCTCAGCCTTCTCTTCTCCAAACTAAAAAGACCCAAGTCCCTCAGCCTCTCCTCTTAAGGGAGATGCTCCAGGCCCCTCATCATCTTTGTAGCCCTCTGCTGTCCCCTCTCCAGCAGTTCCCTGTCCTTCTGGAACTGGGGAGCCCAGAACTGGACCCAGTGCTCCAGATGGGGCCTCCCCAGGGCAGAGCAGAGACAGGATGACCTCTCTCTTCCTGATGCCCCCCAGGATGCCATTGGCCTTCTTGGCCACAAGGTCACATTGTCAGCTCATGGTCATCCTACTGTCCACCAGGACTCCTAGGTCTTTCCCCTCAGAGCTGCTCTCCAGCAGGTCAGCCCCCAACCTGTCCTCGTGCAGGGAGTTATTTCTCCCCAGGTGCAGCACCCTACACTTGTCTTTATTGAAGTTCATCAGGTTCCTCTCTGCCCAGCTCTCCAGCCTCTCCAGATCCCACTGTACAGCAGCACAGCCCTCCAGCATGTCAACCTCCCCTCCCAGTTTTGTATCGTCAGCACACTTGCTGAGGGTACACAATGATGAATGTCTATTTTCACAAGTTTCTGGAGGAGCACCACCACTTGTACTTCTGCTTTAAAAAAGGAGCAGACACGCAGGGATGTCAAATAACAGACAGCAGAGTAGTTCCAGAGATCTGCAAGCTGATTGCTACCCGAGGTTATAAATCCATACCAGGCAGAACTCCATCTGAGCAAAAGTGCCTGGTCTCTCAATGTCCTTTGGAATCAAGTTACTCCAAGCAGAAGTGGTGAGTGCATGGTGGTGGGCACTTCTGCCCTGGTGGGACTTCACCTGTGATGCCCAGCTGCTGAGTAGAACCTCTGCATTGAATCCTCTCGTACTTCTTGCTGTGAAGCCAGCACATTTAGAGCCAGGTGAGAGCCGCTGTGTCAGTGGGCACAGGCAAGCCTCACAAGCAGTGCAAGGGAACAGAAAAGCAGGAGTGCATCTCACCCATCCAGAAGTAAGTTATTCCCCTTTGTTATTGTCCATGGGAATACGTGAGGGCTGAGGGGCATCTCCTTCCCGGGAGTGTTCCCAGACTAGCAAAAGCAAACCCACTTGCTGCACCAGGTATATAGGCCTTAATGAAGAATCATTGAATGAATTGAATGAAATTCAGATCCAGCAGCTCAGCGCTAGTCCCATTATGCAGGACATATTTTTCCTATTTATTTCCTCACTCAGATTTTACCTGTAAAATGGTAACACTTAAGACAGCCCCTCAATCTCATCCTTAGTTCCAGGTAGCATATTCACAAAGAACATTTTCCTATAAAGAAGTCTACAACTTTCAATTGCAATTTTAACACTAGAGCACCCTAAAATGCATTTTCCTGGGACAACTCTTCCAGGTACCATAGCAAAATCAGGTCTGTGACACATCACAACCCCAAACGCTTCCCACCTAAGACTAAGGGTGGAATAAGCAATCCATCACACGCTATGACACATTCCCCAAAACACACGCATACTCAAAACCTTAAAGTGGTGTCAGAATGTTTATTGAAGAGGGCAATCTAACTGGCTGAACCAACCTGGGTAGCCGGTAACATTTAACATAAGCAAACAGAGATACTGTAAACTTGCTGTGCATGGAAACTGTATTTATACGTGAATTGGAAGACTGAAATAATTGAATAGAAAAATATAGCTTAAGTCCCCAGGAGTTCTGAATTACCTCAAGATCATTCTGAAAAAAACAGAAATATAGGGACATACCCAATGATACAGAGTAACACAAATATTTTCAAAGAGAGCTAATAAAATATATTTAGTTGCCTCTTTTAGATAGATTTGCAAATATACTTTTAAAACCACACTTAGCAGTTCCTAGATGTAAGGAAGGGGAGGGGGCCTGATTTAGTGCAGGAGTACCCCACATACACCAGTACGTGCAGGTGTAATATGTGGAATTACTCGACCCCTGGCAAACATTTGCCAACCTTCTGAGAAAACAGCACCACAAATAGGTGTTTTTGCAGAGTAAAGGCAAAAAGGCCCCCTCTGTACTCAGCACCGGTGAGGCCCCACCTCGAGGGCTGTGTCTAGTTTTAGGCTCCCTACCATAAAAAAGACATCGAGGTGCTGGAGCAGGTCCAGAGAAGAGCAACAAAGATGGTGAGGGGTCTGGAGCACAAGTCTTATGAGGAGAGGCTGAGGGAGCTGGGGTTATTCAGCCTGGAGAAGAGGAGGCTGAGGGGAGACCTTTTTGCTCTCTGCAACTCCCTGAAAGGAGGGTATAGAGAGGTGGGGGTCAGTCTCTTCTCCCAAGTCACAGGACTAGAGGAAATGGCCTCGAGTTGTGCCAGGGGAGGTTCAGGCTGGATATTAAGAAAAATTTTTTCACGGAAAGGGTTATCAGACATTGGAACGGGCTGCCCAGGGAGGTGGTTGAGGCACCATCCCTGGAGGTGTTCAAAAGACGGGTTGATGTAGTGCCGGGAAATACGGTTTAGTGATGGTGTTGCTTTTTGTTTGTTGTGTGGGTGTTTATTTTTGTCAAATTTAGGTTGACGGTTGGACAAGATGATCTTTAAGGTCCCTTCCAACCTAGAAGATTCTGTCATTCTGTGTGCTGCCACCGTGTCCCCGTTTTCGGGGGTGAAATCCAGCATTTTGGCTCTTCCCCGAGGGAAGAGGGCAGGAGGGCGCCTGAGCCCCCTCTCCTGTCGCCGCTCCGCGGGCCGACCGGCAAGGGAGGGACCTGCCGGCCTCCTCCACCGCACCGGGGGCCGGGCCCGGCCGCGGGCACCGCCGCGGGCTCTGCCTGTACCTGGGGCCGCCCCGCGCCCTGCCCAGCTCGCCTGGGCCCGGCCGGGCCCTGACCGCCGCCCTCGGCCCGGCCGCCAACGGCTGCGCACGCCTCTCCCCTTCCTCCTCCTCCTCCTGTCGGCCGCTGCCCCCGGCAGGGATGGAGGCCATCGAGGAGCTGGAGATCAAACCCTGCACCTCCTCCCTCTACCTGCG